CTAATAACTAAGCTCATAAGGTAAAGCTATTAATTAAAAGTTAATAACTAAACTTAATTAATTAAATAAGGTGGGAATTGAACCCTAGCCTCTCATCATAATAAACACACAATAAACCACTAAGTTAACAAACCAATTAATAACCTAATCAGCCATAAAACTAATTAACCCCAAACTAGATAGCAACAAACAACAAGAAGCAGAGTCTCACCATCATCATCTTCGTTTCTTCATATTGCCTGAGCCGCGGGTGGTGCGGTGGGTACACCACCACCCTATCCAACTGCCCGCGGGGTACACCAGAGCCACCACGTCGTCGGAGCTCAATCCGAAGCTACATCCTTGTCTTCGCCGGAAGAAGATGAAGACCGGATGTAACACCCTCAAAACAAACTATAAACAAACTTACTTAAAATAGAAACTGCTAAAAAATAGAATTCCCAAAGAGTACATACCTCAATTTAGAAACTAAGTAACAATTCAACTTACAAAATAAATTTAAGTCCTTAATATAAATGAGGGTGAAACCACCACATCTAATCTAACACTGACTAGATGTAAGGCTCTAAACCATAACATTCAATCACCAACTTAATCCAGAAATTAAAGAAAGAAATACAATCTGGATCAACCACTCTAAAACATCATAAATGGAACAACTACTAAGTTCTATCGCGTGCTCTCAGCCAACAACTTACTAATTCACCTGCACAAATCACAAATAAGAGAAACATAAAACAATAAAATTAGCAAAACATTGCTAAGTAAGGTTTACTCCACCCCGTGAAACGAGTTTAATACAGTATATATTCACATTCCAAAACAATTAGCCACAAGGCTTAACAGTTCTCAACTTCAACATAACACTTACTCCACATCACAATCCACATGGAGATTTCAACTTAAGATTTCAAAACAATCCTTTTCAAAATAACACGTTTCCAAAAGAAATCATTTTTAGGAAGTATGGGGGAATATCAAATCAAATAACGGGCAGTGTCTTAATTACTTAAGCCCTAGTGAACAGTAATCACTCAATTGAACACTACGCAAAAATCCCATTTAAACCAACCAAATAATGGGCAGGGTCTTATTCAATAAGCCCTAATGAACAGTCACTCTACTGAACACTACACAAAAATCCCATTTAAGTGGAACAGAACTAATACCTTAAGTGTGCACACCCCCAATGGCTTTCCAAGCCCAACGGGTAGTAACTAGTCCTAGTAGCCAGGATACGTTTCTACTGACTACTACTCAACAAGGTAAATACCCTAGTGGTAGACTCCGCTAACTACTCCTCAAAATACAACAGGCCCAAAAGTCCTAGTGAGACAAGATATGTTTCTACTGCTCACTCCTCAAAAAATTGGGTCACAGCCCAAGTACCCAGAATTCATAACAGGATACTACACAAGTCAACAAAGCCTTTTTATCCTCCATCTTTATAACAATGATAACAACAATGATATTTCTCAGGTAAGCAACTTCCCAACACCTCAAATAAGAAACTGATAGAAATTTTCAGAAACGACCTGGATTGCAGAATTTACTGAGAACAACCGGTAATACATTTTCATATGAAATTTTCCAGATAAGAGGTAAAGTGAGTCTAGATTATACACAAAATGTTTCAAGCCAATCCAAAGTGTAAAAGTATTTTTCTGAAATTGTTTCCCAACACTGCGCCAGACAGAAATTAAACTCGCAGAACACTGCCTCAACTTCACAAAATATTCTGGAAAAACCTAAACATATTTTTAATAACAAATTTTTACAAACATCAAGTATATCAAGTCTAGATTCTCCAGAAAAAGGTTCAAGCAAAAATAAGTTTAGGAAGCATTTTTCACGAATTTTCCTTCCCAGCTGCGCCAGTCAGAACTTTCACAGGCAATAATCAAATTGAATAAAAAAAAAATTCCTTTATAATCACCACAAAATCACCATATCACATATCCCCACAAAACAAGAAAAATATATACATTTTTACAGAGTAAAAATAAATTTTGATAGACATAAACACTTACCTGGATTCGTACAATCAATCATGCACCAGAATCTAGTCCTACGTTTACTCCTCTGCAAACTCTCCTTGAATAGATGACACTAGATAGAAGAACGAAAATTGACGTGCAGAAATTCTCTTTCGTTGAAGCCGGAAGTGGGAAAAAAATAAGAATGTTTCGGCTCAAGATGATGATGAAGGAGGGGAGAGTTTAACGAATCGGCTACTGATGAGGAGGACGGAAACAATTAGGATGAGAACAATTAGAGTACTACTTAAATACTTAACTAATAACTTGTATTATAAATAATAATTCTAGTTGTATGGAACTAAAATACTTACAGCACGTTTGGTTCACAGAATGAATTTTGAGGTAATAGGAATGCTATTCCATATGGAATGGAATAAGCAAGGAATAGAAGATGAATTCTATTCTATTGTTTGGTTCGCGAAAGGAATAGACTTTAGCAATTATATTACAGTGTTTGGTTGGTTTAAGGAATAGAATGAAATATGTTTCAAAATACATAAATACCCTTATAAAAATATGTGGTGGTGGTGGTGGTGGCGGTGGTAGCAGTGGCGGCAGTGGTTGTGGTAGCGGTGGTGGCAGTGGAGGTGGTGGTGGAGGCAGTGGTAGCAGTGCTGGCGGTGGTTTTGGTGGCGGTGGCGATGGTGGTGGTGGTGGTGGTGGTGGTGGGGTGGTGGTGGAGACGGCGGCAGTGGTGGCGATGGTAGGGTATTTTTGGTATTATAGTACTAAAGTTATTCTCAAATACTTGGGAATAGCTAATACCAGGGGGTCCCCTAGGAATGACTATTCCCCTTGCAAAGGGAATAGCTCATTCCCGGGAACGCTATTACCTTGAATAAAATGACAAAACAAACAATGGAATAGGTCTATTCCCGGAAACGGTATTCTATTCCTGACCTATTCCATGAACCAAACACGCCATTAAAAGCTTAAATATAATATTAACATACATAAACATATATATGAACTAACATGGATACACGTAACATATATATACTTTTAGCTGTACGGGACTAACCTATATTATACTAAAACTTTAAGTTTATTTACTATAATATAACACCTTAGTTTTAGGATTTAAAGATTAGTTTATTATATCATATAAGTATTATGGGTTTAGGAATAGTAATAACCATAAAATAATAATAGTAGACTACTTTCAAATAGTTTTGGGTCTCATAAAATAATACACTATGGATCATACAATAAAAAATATTATATTTCACATAACGACTATATTGTAAAATTTTATTTAGCATAATAATATTTATAACAAAATACTCAAATAACTGGGGTATCACACTCTACCCCCTTAAAAGATGCTTCGTCCCCGAAGCAGAACCATAAAGCAACAAGGAACAAGGGAACAAGGAAAGAAACTCAAACTCAACCTCACAAAGAAACTTAAACTCGAGTTTCATACACAATAATAGAATGATGCAATTAACACACTAAAAGAACGATGCTGTTCTACCCCCCTTAAAGAAAAAGTTACGTCCTCGTAACTAAACTCTTAACTGATTCTACATCGTGGTACCTCGCCTGAACCCGATAGCAGCTAACTGCTTTATCGTAAGTTTCCCTCAGAGTCTGACACTGAAACACACATATGGCTTTTTGAGTCTCGAAGTTTAACTCGCTAATGAATTTTTGAACTTTGTACACCTCGTCAGGGACTAGAGTAGATGCGAAACGAGCAAGTTCTATAAATCTTGCATAGTACTCCTGGACCGTCATATCGCCTTGTCTTAAATTAATGAATTCCTCATACTTGGCTTGAGTTAACTGTGTCAACTGCTGTAGTTCTTGTTCCAACTCAATGTTGGTCGGAGCACCTTGGTTTTCAACATCCCTCACCGAAGCCATCTCTACGAGGCAGTACTTTATTATTATTATTTTTTTAAGGTTACTCCAAATGATTTCTATATTAGGATTCCATACAAATTGGGTACAAATAATTCAAGTTTACCCAAAACTTTTCACATAAAAAAAAAATAAAAAAGATAAGCACTTAAATTTCTCATGTAAATTAACTTCACCAGGATAATGCATACCAACAGGGTGCAACGGCAGAGGAAGAAACATAGTACATGTATACTCCATCTATTTTGAGTAGGGTAGAATTCTATTTGTGGGTTGGGTTGGGCTTAGGCTAAATATGAATTTTATGCTAAACATCTTGGGCTCACAAAAATAATTATAACACATATATTTATACAAACATATGGGTTTGACTAGTTTGGGTTCAAAGCTTACATAACATATAATAAATAAATACATTTTGGGCTTAGGATAACAAATAAACTTCTAGGCTAAAAATCACTTTTGGGCTTAAGGCATTTGGGCACAAAAATACTGATTCACAATAATAGGTAGACCCGAGCCCATTTTAAATTAAATAGCTATATAAATATTTTTAATAAAAGTATTTAATATCGGGACTATAATTTATTTTAGGAAAATACGGGGTGTCACATGCAACCTCTTGGATGGTTTCATCTATATGACTTTCTAGTAGTGCACTTGTTGGATCTGTCTAACTTTTTAGCTCATCATTTCTCAGAATTTTCAATATACTTTCTAGATGGTCACCTTCTAGAACTACGACATCCATTTCACTTTCTGGATGATCACTTTCCGGAACAACTGCTTGACTTTCCATAGCATTTGCATGATATTCCGAACCACAACTTTTCAAAATTTCCTTTTGTATAACTGGTCCACTTTTCGGTACTCTATCGTCTCAGAAAGCTGATGATTGTTCCAATTTCAATGCCTGACTAGAAGTTGATCCAACTACTCCTTCAAATAGCCGAAACTCAATCATGGAATTTTGCCACTACTTTTGAAAAACTTTTTCAGTATCTTGGGGAGTTAGGCTTTGATCAAGACAAGGTGTAATTTAGCGGTGGATGGAAAGAAAGGTGTGAATGAAGATTCTCGGGATGTCAATCTCACGAGGATGGACACTTAGAATTGAATGTTGTATTATCAAACACAATCACACATTTGCACTAGGAAGCTAGAAGAGTTCATGGTAAGGAGTGCAAGAAAGTAAAGAGCAATGTAAGTAAAAGTGCAAGCTAGTAAAAGAAGTAAACAAAGAAACCGTGAGGTGAATTGGATTGCCTACCCTTGATCATGTGACATGAATAAACCTAGGCATGATGTGGAACTATGTGAGGAATTAAGTCTATGTGAGATGACTTCCAATGCCATGTACATCTCGGTCTACACGGACTATCATAGGGCAAGGAAGCACGCTAGTGTCAACATTCCCTATGAGGCATTTAATCAAACATGTTGTCTACATTTCATTCCGGACCTTGTCCTCTCGGATCTAGGGCGGGAATTGCAAGGGGAAGGAGTTTACGATTAGGCCTTAATCTCTTGCAAGCAGCATAACCCTACCTAAACCTATTGCATGTGTTGCACTTCACAGACAAGAGTCAATATAATCATTCCATTTCCAAGAAGACATCAACACATAGTCACAACTACCTTGATCAATTCATACACAACACAATGAAATAGGATCCAATTCACATGAAAATTCTAGCCAAGCATCATTGATCTAGATTGAATAACAAAAGCAATTGAGCAATCAATGGAAGAAATTAGAAGAATTAAATGCAATGAAGTTACCTACTCTATAGCAATTGCAATCAATAATCAATGAAGAAGACAATCCAAGCTTACCAGAGAAGTTGTCAATTCCTCTTACAACACTTGAAGTTCCTCTTACTAGGATGGAGATATTAGAGAGCTTGATGGTCTTTTCAGCATAGATTTCTGCCTCAGTCTACAGTTTTGTAACACAATTTCATTAAACAAGACACAAATTAAATAGCGACATATTAGTAAAAACAAACATGCTATGGTACGCATACGAAAAATCTACTACACAAACAAGCCTCGACCCCCCACACACCAACATCACCAGAAAAAGGAAACAGTCACCTATATGCCAAAAGAGCAATAGCCCAATCAAAACCCATTAATTGGAGACCCACACACCCCCTGTGCAGCAATATACACATACTATTGAGACGGAATGCACAAACCAGACCACCCTGTAAGACCAGTCAGCGAAACGCAACAACCGTAATCAGTTAACGTAGACACAACAATATGAAGGCCCCCCACTCCCCATCTGAGAAACCCCGAAACAATTTACCTTAGCAGGAGCATCAACAGCAGGTGAATGAATATCCCCTCGTGCATCCAGCGCCTAAACCGAACCATTTTAAAGAAAAAAAAACCAACCACTTTAGGACGCAAAGCAACCCCGTAAGCGAGTATAAACACCAAAGGGGGAGAATAACACCAATACCTCCGGAATAAATGGACCAACTACCTCACCACGTCCAAACCCACCCGTCCCGAACTCAGCAAGTTGTCTGGCCTTTAACAAACTTGTAGACCACCCCCTCAAGGCTGGCGACGCTCGGGGCACAACCCTCTCCGAGTGTACTAACCTATCAATATAGAGCAACTGGAAAAATGACACATGCTAGGAACTCACACCCATACCACACTAACAAACAACCGAACAATATAATATAGGCTACAACATAAATCTTACCAGTAAGAATATAGAGGGTCTGGAGAACGGTTGGTTAGGATCCACAATCCACTTAGCATGCTTGTCAACTAAACATTCAATCACAAATTTGCACCAATTGAGATTTTTTATCTCGTCAACATCTTCAAAGTGGCGGTTATCCATTCATCATAGGCGTGGCCAGAGTACTAATCGCCAACACCGCAAAGTGCCGCTTAAACCAGACGTCCCCCTCTAGATTACCTCTTAACTTTTTGGCAATCATGGCCAAAGTGATGGAATGGTTGGACTTCTCAAACTTCGAACGCCATAGCTTCAAACTGTCACTAATATTGTCCTTCTGCCTTTTGGTGATGATAACATCACCGCGCGGCAGCCCCAAAACAGAATAAACATCAGCCTCGGACACAGGGATGGTCAACCCATTCTCAACTCGCAAAACCATGTCCACGGGATCAAAGTTCGTAAGCAGCCACCTAGCCAACGGCTTTGGGATGTCTTTTACTTGAAGGTTTAAAATCTCTCCCAAACCCAGCTCGACTACAGCTCTCCGCTGACAGGCATTAAAATGCTTGATGGGTTTGACCGGATGCTTCGGAGAGGCGCGAATCTTCAATGGGAGAAAAATTGCCTCATAAACCTCGGCAGGCTGCGCATCCTCTACACCCTCGTCAGGCTGCGCATCCTCTACATCCTCTAGATCCATATCCGGCGCCGGTTGAGCGGGTCCTTATGGTACTTCCACTGCTTCCAACTCTAGCAAAGCTGCGACATCATCAACTACATCTACCGGCTCAACTCCACCATCTACTGCCAAAAATGACACAAAACAAAGAGCCATAACCAAACACGATAAACCCCATAAAATAAAGACCCAACTACAACATAGCACCATTTAGACAGATATGCAAACAGTGACATACATCTGCGCACACGTGGGGCCTAGCATTTCTGCTGACACACACATAGTTCTAACCACGAACCAAATATCCTAAAATTAAACAAAAACTTAAAACACAAACACAAATGCATACCATCGAATAAATTAAAAAAGCAAGTTCACTAAGCACATACCAAATACCAACACTGCATAAAGCTAACATCCAAATACTACCCGAAGATACAGCCACGCCTAACCCCCCGCACATACTAGGGGGGACAAACCCGGAATAGGAAATTGCAAATAGCCTATCATGCACAATTTGAAACACATCGATGCACTAACCAAAAACCACACAATTCACACCAATAATTGCCCCACATTCAACCCTACGCCAAAACCACCACAATAAAGCACCACAATAATGCAAACAAAAAAAGGGGACACGGTCGACCACACCCCCCCCCCCCCAACTAAGACCATAAAACAACAACCCCGCATATGCCCAGTACTGGACAAAATCCACCTTTTACAACCCCACGACAAAAAATCAACACACGCCAAGCACCCGCCACCCGGTGACAACAGCAATTCGCACCCACCACCACACGGCCAAGAAGTTCAACACAAAAAACAAAAAAAAATAAACAAAAAAAAAAATAAACACCAAGAAAACCCGGACGAACTACCCGTCCGCCAACCGCTGCAACATCGCCACCCGCACAAACAAACACACATGCACCAACCCAACCCTACTGACCTAAGTACGGGACTAATGGTTCCCCAAAAAATAAACCCCCAACGCTTCAAAAAACAAAAAAAAAAAAAAGAAAAAAAAAACCCTAAATCGGAACCCAAAACTGTATCCGTCGCTACAGACGAGACCACGCACGAGCCTACCCCGGCTCCGGCCACCGTCGATGACCCAATTCCACGGCAAACACCCCCTCCCCAAAAAAAAAAAAACACCAGAAACCTCATCCACTAAGCAATATGACTACACACCCAAGCATATGAACACCCACCCCTTCGATTCGGGACAAACATCACAGAAAATAGCACAAAAAATACCTATAAAAAAAGGGCGACGAATGGAATACCTGACACCGCACCCGAAGAGTTGCTCCGAAGCCGCTTAGACCGCCGGACGCTCGACCCAGCCATGACGACCACACTCGACGGCCTCTGCGAAGGAAGAAGAACACTGCAACGGGCGGTGAAAAGACGGAGACTTGATGCCTACTCTACGAAGCGATGATGATTTCTACTGGAGATACCAAGAATAAAAATAAACACACGCACAAAGCTCGGCGCCAATAAAGACAGTGCACAATTAAACACTATGGCAAATTACAAAACCGCCCCTTGCTCCCAACCCCCATAACGCACGTGGGCAGAATACTCACATAATCTGAGCCATTGATTAAAAAAAATCAATGATAGTAAGAGGGGCTCACAAGCTCACCTGGTAAGGGGGTGCACAGAATTTGAAATCTATATATATATATATATATATATATATATATATATATATATATATATATATATATATATATATATATATATATATATAGAATCGCACTCAGGTGCGAATGCTTTGCCCAGGCGCGAAATAGGAATGAATTCTGTTCGTCCACGTGTCCAGATCTAATGGATGAGAAACACTGATTTTTTTTAAAAAACGCGGTGGAATTTTCGTAAATAATTGAACATCGAAGTACAAGTAAAATGTATTACAAGTGCATGTAAAATGTATTATAGGTGCAAGTAAAAATTTACACTTAGCATCAATACTTAGTTGCACCTATAGTTCTAAGTAGTTGCACACATAGTTATAAGTAGTTGCACTTAGGTGTATGAATGTTTGCGAGTGGTTTTCAGGGGTATTACTACCCGCTAAACTCAGATCAATGAATGTTAACAAGGCAAAATTACATGCACTTATAGGTGAAAGTAGGTGCACCTATAGTTATAAGTAGTTGCACCTATAGTTATAAATAGTTGCACATATAGTTATAAGCACACCCAGATGCATGAATGTTTGCGGAAAGTGAATGCTAACAAGGCAAAATTACATGCACTTATAGGTGAAAGTAGGTGCACCTATAGTTATAAGTAGTTGCACATATAGTTATAAGCACACCCAGGTGCATGAATGTTTACAGAAAGTGAATGCTAACAAGGCAAAATTACATGCACTTATAGGTGAAAGTAGGTGCACTTGTAAGTGATTTTACTTTTTTTTTTTTTTTAATAATAGACATTTTTTTTTTTAAAGTGAACTTTATTAAGTTAAATAGAGAGAGTATTAACTTTTTTGAATGCTACTAGCTCTATTACAATGTAGTATTGCCTCCACTGAGGCTTGAACTCACAATCTTCCACATGAAAATCCAACCCGGGTACCATTGGACCACATAGTCCTGGTAGTGATTTTACTTGCACTTCGATGTTCAATTATTTACGAAAATGCCACCGCATTTTTTTTTAAGTTATTAGATCTGGACACGTGTCGCGCTCTGATTCATATATATACATATATATATATATATATATATATATATATATATATATATATATATATATATATGTT